TATCCTTGGACTCCGTGCTCGTCCTCTCTCTCTCTGCTCCTACGCCTGCTCCTCCTGCCCCTGTGGATGGTGCTGTCGGAGACGGATCTGATGGTGCCGCAGGTGGAGGTTGTGGTACGGGATCTGTTGCTGCTCCTGCTCCTTGTCCCGATCCTCCCTGATCATTTGCCTGATTTGGGTCAGGAGGTGGGGGTTGTGGTACGGGAGCTGATGCTGGTACCCTCGTGTCCGCAGCTGCTTGATCCGCTCGACCTGGTGATCCTTCCGGTGCTGCCAGTGGCGTGTCTGCCCTTCCTGCTCCTACAGGCCCTGGTGGTGGCGACTGAGTTCCCGGTGTACCCCCTGTACCTGAACCTGTTGGTAGTGGTGTCGTGGACGGTTGAGTTGTCGTGGAAGCGCCATCCGGTTTTGTCTTCCCTTTGTGTTTGGTCTTGTCATCCCCGGAACCACCTGTCTGCGGTGTCGCGCCCTTTGCTGCAATAAAAAAGGAAGAAGGGGAACAACAAAGAGTATATTATAAAAGCACAAGTGGTACAGAAAGAAGGGGCCGGGACGGTGTGGCCAGGTAGCGGCCGGGTAGGGTCCGGCTCGACGACGGGGCGGGACGGTTGTGTCACGTAACGGCAGGGTACGGTCGGGTCGACTCGGTGAACTGCGTCCAGGCGGACAGAGTCGTGGTGGATGGTAGCAGTACAACTTTCATTTGTCGCCGTTACGCTCCTGCACCGTCCCGCTGCATCCCTCATGTCGTCTCCGGTGCCTCGTCGCCGCTGCCGTCGTCGTGGCCACCGCTACGGTCGTGGCTGCTGTGCGGTTGCGCGCCCGTGCGTAGTTCACGTGCGTTGTTCTCGCCGCGTGCGTGTGCGTTGTTGTGATGGCATCCATATTCGTGCGGTTTACATGCGGGCCGCATGAGTATTCGGCCGTATTCGGTCATATTTGTCCGCATTCGTGCTTTCTCCCCATCGGTCCTTACCGGTCGGTTCCCCTGATGGTGCTGGTGTTGCCGTGGCTCCCGGTGCTACCGGCGATGCTGCAACTGCTGGTGTTGCGCGGACGGGTTTTTCAGCGGCGGCTGGTGTAACTGACGTTTTCCCTGGTCCTATATCGTCCAATATTTTCTTCCATGCCTCCCCTCCCGTTCCTGTATTTTTGAATTCTTCCATTATTTTCTGTTTCTGATCATCGCTTATTGCCTCCTTATTCTCAATCATGGTCCTTATACTTTGTACAGTACCATCCTCCAATGCTGTTATTACAGGACCATGTTTCACCTCCTTTTCTGCATTTTCCTTTGATCTTCTTGCTTCCGCACCCTCACAATCCGTATTGCCCTGCCCCGAACTCACGCCTCCATATGTTCTTTGCCTCCATTTGTTTATCCAATCTCCCATGGTTTTTGCAAAAAATTTGGAGCCTATTTGTAAGGTATCATAATCGAGCCTAGCACATTGTTGCTCTTTCCCTATATTACCCTCCTCCCCACCCCAGATGCGCACCTTATTAATTATCTTTCGTACAGTCTCTCTTGTTTTGCAGCTGCCGCTGTATAATTTCGCTATTGCAATAGTGCCCACCATGCACCTGAAATAGTCCCGCAGATCGCCGTCCTGCCCAGAATCTTTCTTCACTTCCATGTGGCCCGCGCGGAAAGTTGTTCTATTTGCAAAAAAAATTATTCTTATAATGTGGTTGCATATAAGCTTTACCATAGGCCGGTCTACCCTCTTTTCCTCCTCCTTAGCCATTATTTTACATAGTGCATCCACTGTATCATCCCCTGTTACCAATTCATGCTCTAGCTCTCTGAATATTTGTTTTATATCTTCCCATATCCCTGTCTGCAGCAGAGGAAAATTGTATGTGTACCTATCTATGTTGCTTTCATTTCTAATATATAATATTGTTCTATCCGCTATACCTTATCTCACAGTTCTAATATATTCCTCCTTCCATTTCTGTCTCCCCGTTTTTCGCCCTCCTAATTATTCATGTTAGGTCTTATATAGTTTACCCTCATACTAAATTACCTCATATGTTCCATCCTGGCTCCCCATTGCCCTCTTCTTTGCATAAGTTGCTAAGAGAGCCCCTAATTGGTGTGCCATTTTGCCCTTATTATTATAAATGTGTATTTGAATTCCTGCTGCACATAGAACACTGCCTTAAACTGGCTACATGCATCCAAAACTGTCATGTGCCTGTCTCAGTGCATTAACTGTGCATACTAATAAAACACATTCCTGAACTAAGCTCTCCAGAATAACTTTATTTTTCATTAGAGATAGGGAAAGAGGAAGGAAAAAAAAAAAAGGAATAGAACAGGAGGGAAAACAGAAAGAAAAACATAAAACAAAACATATGTAGAAAATTAAAGAAAAAGGACTTTAGAAAAAAAAAGGAATAAAAAATAGAAAAAAAAAAAAAAAAAAAGAACACTACACTACCTACGCACACACAACGCGTCATGAAAAGCACCCCCCGCCCCCCTGTCTACACCGGTCTCCACTAAACGCCGTCACACACTGCCTCTCTGTGTGCGTACACCTAAAAACCGCAATAACAACATCAATTTCTTCTTCCGTCTTGCACGCGGCTGCGTCGTCGGACAATGGGTTTACCGGGGCCGCGTTGGCTCGGAGAGACAATGTGCTCCTCCTTCTTACACTCGGACAATCCGTCGTCGAATCGTGGTTACTGCGGTAGGTACGCGGCCGCGTGTGCTCGCAATAGCCGTGCTGAGTGGGGCGCGTTGGTCGACGCGTTTGCTCGGAGAGACAATCTCTCCTCCGTTCTTACACTCGGACAATCCTTCGTCGAATCCGTGTTACTGCGGTAGGTACGCGGCCACGTTTGCTCGCAAGAGCCGTGGTTACTGGGGCGCGTGGGTCGGCGGGTGTCCGCGCGTTATGTCCATGCGGCGCGCTAGTGTGCATGAATACGTCGTACGCCCTGGCAACACGAGCCGTGCATGCGCAGCCTGCGCGCCCTCGTGGAGCAGAGACGGCGGCGATGAGTGTTTAGACGAACGTAACGTGAAGCGCCCACGACGGCAGCGATGGCAGTATCGGTGGTGTGCGCCGGCGTCACAGTGGTGTGACAGCGGTGCGACGGATAAAGCAGGCGACGTATGGAGCTAAGGCCATGAGGGATGCAGCGGGACGGCGGTTGCGGACGGCGACAACAAATACAAGTTGTACTGCTACCATCTAGTCCAAGTTCACCTAGACCCAGTCGACCGAGTTCACCTCACCGTGCGCTTGCTGCACCCTACCCTGCCGCCCCTTCTTTCTGTACCACTTGTGTCCTTTTTTTTTGTTATCATCTTTCTTCCTTTCTCCTTTTTGCAGTGCCAGCACCTAAACCTGCGCCGACGAAATCGGCAACCACAAAGCCGGCAGTGGGTACTGAGGACCAAACTAAAGGAAAGGACACAGAATCGGAGAACACACCCTCAGAATCGAAACCAGCAGAGTCACCAACACGATCAGATCCCTCGGCAGGGGACGGCCTCCCCGCTGCGGGACTACCGGCCGCAGCAGGATCAGGAGCAGGCAGGCAAGGACCGGGTCAGGGACCAGGACCGGGACAACAACCCCCCCCACCTCCACCACCACCACAGGACGGATCAGCGACAGGGGGAGATGGAACAGAGAACAAGACGCAAGCACCGGCATCTCCAGTATTACCAGCAAGACCACCATCACAACCCCCTGTATCACCACCGGACTCATCAGCTGCCGCAGCGGCAGGTGGGCAACAACCAGGTCAGGGACCTGGACCTGGACAACAACCCCCACCTCCACCACCACCACAGGGGACGGAAGGAGAATCAGCACTAGGAGGAAAAAAGGAGGACGTAGAAACAGTAGCCCAGGCACCACCGCAGGGTGACGCCAAAACTGATGACGCTAATACTCCAGCAGGTAAGACGACTGAACCACAGTGTGGAGTTACCACGCAGACTCAAGAATCTTCAGGTGTTGATAACCGCGGTAATGCTCATTCTGTGGCGGTGACCTTCCACATCACTCCAACTGCGCCCGAATGTTCAGGATCTGGCACTTCAGGTGATGCATCCTATAAAAGAATACAGAGCGAACACTGAGAACTGTAGTAACCTTAACATCTGATACTGCGTATCACCCTGCATATGTACACAGCATCAATACGGAAAAACAAAGAGACAACAACAAAAAAAAAACAAGAACAGCATCTCGCACGTCTCGCACAGAGGGAGACAGAAACCACACGTCGAATGAGAGTGAGCGCGCCGATAGACAGCCGCGACAGGTAGACGTCGACAGACGTCGACACACACACTGTGTGTGTTGTGTGTTTGTGGGAGACAGAGAGAGAGTCTGTTCCCGGGGTGGCACCAGCCAACCACGTTCGCACCGTGGCCAACCATCCAGCGGCGGACCATGAGGGCTGGACTGTGTGGTCAACCCTGTGGCCAACCAGCGCGCACGAACTTCATTTGTCTTCCATGGTCTTCTGGTTCCCTTGTCCTGCACGTGTAGGTAAGGATACTCAAAACGACAACTCCAGTAAGGATGGAACGCATGTAAAATCAGTAGATTCCGCGGCAGCATCAACAGGGACTACATCAAAGGTGTCAGAGCAACAACCCGAACCACCAGCAGAACAACTACCAGCAGCGGACCCAGATCTTCACACATCTTCCTCAACAGACGGTAAGCAGCACCCTCAGAAGCCCTTAGATGATAGTACACCTCCAGGACAAAATTCTGTCCTCGATGGCGGTAACGATGACCCCCCTCCTCTCAATCCACCCAAACCCAAACCGAATCCAAATCCGGACGACGAGGGGTCCCGAAGCGGCGCCTCGGATGACGGGAAAACTCACAGTGACCCCCGTGGTGGTAGGGAAAAGCAGCAATGGGGCGGAGCAATGTTTGATTCCGGCAGTACAGGAGGCTCATCAGGATTCCATGCACCCTGGGACACGACGAACACAGAGGCAACACAACAGCCCAGTGGCCCACCTGACAATCAATCCACCGAAGCATCAAGGGCAGACAAGAAGTTTGGCCTGAATCTAACAATCCTACCAGGACCAAATAGTCCAGCAGGAGGATTCGTACCACCCACCTTACCAGAAGATACTTCTCGTGCCCAGAACGACCACCCCGGTGGCACGGAGAAGGGCCCCTTCTTCCCCGACCTAACCGACACCGTCCTTACCGCCACTACTCCCATCCTGTTTTTTCTCACTTCGGTCATCTTCGCCCTTCTTGGTTATTCCCTATGGAAGGTAAGCACAGCCACAAGCACGCACAACGCACAAATATAACCGAGTGGAAAAAGCACGAACAGTTGTCGTTTCTCCGTGAATGTTCTCATAGGGACCGTAACCAACTTTACACTATTTGGAAGTTACTCGTCACAAAACAAAAAACACGCACTACGGACGTGCATCCCTATATGCCGGATACAGTGTACATTGGAGGCAACAAATGTGTGGCTTGTGCGATACATATATTAGATACGTGGGTACACAACAGCTTTATATGTATAATACTAGCATAATATGCATATATTCATGTAACTATGAAAGCTTATTGTTGACAGGAAAAAGGAAAAGGAAAACGAAAAAACAAACAACACACAATCCTGAATCTTCTTAATGCTTTAAATTTTCAAACTTCGAGCCCTGAACCCTTCACATTTGGCACACCTGACCATGTTTACATTGATTTTTTTTTTTTTTCTCGCTTTTATGAGTGCATATTGATTTATTTTTTTTTTTTTGGGGGGAAATTCACATTTTGTATACGTTACCATGTGTACATTGCTTGTTTGTGTTTTTCCTGATATTTTAGTGCACTTTGTTTATTTTTTGTGTTACCACTGCACATGTTGGACACCATACCATATACACACAGTTTACACGTTCATACTTTTATTTATTTATTTATTTTATTTGTTTTTTTTTCCTGTTTTTATTTCATTTTTTTTACATTTCATTTTTTGTTACATTTCATTTTTTTTTACATTTCATTTTTGTTACATTTCATTGTTGTTACGTTTTATTTTGTTTTACCATTTTTTTTTTTTTTTGCAACTTTGTTTTTTTTTTAAACAACTTTTTTTATTTCCATTTACAATTTCACACGTTACCATATCGACACCTTGACACGTTACCATATCGACACCTTGACACGTTACCATTTTGACACGTGTGACGCTTTCACATGTTGTATATGTTCACATTTGCACATTGTTAGGATGTTTCACTTTTTGTGTAGAATTATGTACAATTATGTAATAGTACATACATGTATGTAACATGATAAGTGGTGCATTGTTAACAAAATGTTAAACTTTGCAACGAATTTAAAAACAAAAAACAAAAACATAAACACAACAATATGTTGAATCATCCTTGCGTGGTAATTGTTCTTCGTGTGGCCTTTTTTTTTTTTATTTAATCACGTTTTTCATTCATTGTTGTTTTCGTTTTCGTTTTTCTTTTTTTTTTGTTGCACTCTCTGCTTCTTTTCTGTTTACGTTTTTTCATTCTTTTTATAAATACACGTGTTTCGTTTACACACCCATTTTGTCATTTGCACACCCCGTTCTCGTTTACATACCCCGTTGTCGTTTACATACCCCGTTCTCGTTTACACACCCCGTGTTTCGTTTACACACCCCGTGTTTCGTTTACACACAAACACACACAGACACAGACGATTTGTGTCCAAAATTCCCCGCACCAAAACTGTTGCGACACCGTTCCATCGTCCATCCAACTTGCATCGTGCACAGCACGGGTTGTTTACCGCACACGTGGACTACACCAAAATGAAGTACTTTATGCACATCGTTTGTATGTTCGCGATCCGCGTAACCCTTTTCCAACCTCATGGCACGACTAACGCCGAACAGGTGATTATGCCAAATGGTTATTTAAGACATGGAAACACACAAGACAACTACATGCAAGCGGGAACACCGGCAGCGCCATCACCGGAAGCGTCGGCAACAACGGTAGCAACGACGGCAGCACAACAGCACAGTGGCGTTATTGCAGGTACATCGAGTGCAGGTCATGCAACGGGTTCGCACGACGCTCCGAAGCAAACGAACGACGACGCAGCGAACATAAAGAACGGCGAACCTGACTTCTGGGGACAGTGGGACAATGATACTAAATCCTGGGATGTAGGTGACGGATCCCCAAGTGCATCAGCAGGAGCAAAATAGGAAGGAGCACAACCCGACAACCATGCGAAAGCGGGACCCAGTGGCTCGCAAACGGATAGTTCCCCTGGGACTAATACTGAATCGACAAAACTCACAGATCCAGGCGCCGCAGCGGATACTCCCTCTGTGCAGAAGGATGATGAAACCAATCAATCCGGTGTTACAGGAAACCAACCCACACAGAACGGGGCAGGGGGTACACCGGCTGCTCCTTCCCCTGCTGAAAACACTGAGAACGACACAGTTCAGACGACTCCATCGTCTCCTTCTTCTACGAATGAGAACGGTGAAACCGGTCCTTCCGCTCCCACAGGTGACAAAGGCGACGCCGGTAACACTAGTGGGGATGCCGTCGTTGATGGCGGCAACGATGACCCCCCTCCTCTGAATCCACCCAAACCAAAACCGAACACGAACCGCGATCAAGCGGGGAGCAGTGGCCGAGACCCCGGTACAGACGGCTCATCTGGACCTGGTTCCACTGGTCACCAGAACCCTGGTTCCTCCGGTATCGGCTCTACTAACCCGGGGGCACCTGCCACTCGTGTAACCATAAAGGATGAGTGGGACACAGAATTGGATAAAATCCCGTTATGGGGAATAGGATCCGTAACAACACCCTCCGCTACCACAAACGACGCGTCGAAATCATCCGTTAAAACACCCTCCGAACCGACGACGACGC